GCATAACCATTTTTAACAATTACCGAAATTATTAACTATTATTAACTATTATTAATTAATTAATAATTGTTTTATTAACTAAAAACTCGGCAGTCCCATCACTACGTACATGTATCTTTGAAACGATTGACATGAAATTAAGTTAAATTACATAATGAGAAATGCAACGGTTTTACTTAAACACCCTGCAGATTCAGCACGATTATGCAATTTCGGATTTATCGCTATGCACTCCAGTAACAAAGCAAAAAAAAAGAAATACAAACACTTTTTTGAACATTTAACAGAATTCGGCCGTGGCGGCATGAGATGTTTGCGGAAACAGATAAGAATTAATGTATATTGAACTATCGTTATGCAAATTTACAATAAGGGTTGTGATTCCGATCAACTCCGACCTGACAAAATCATCAATAGTTATGTGATTCAAAAAAAGAATAAGAGAATAATTGAGAAAAACAATAAGAGCAAATTTAGTAATTACATAATATATTAAGCTTGTTCTATTTTCCTTTTTTTTTGCCTTTTTTTTTGCCTTTTTTTGATTTTTTTTTGTTTGTATTATTCTTGAAACTGTTTCACGGAAAACCAGCGGAGAAACGAAAATCATTGACATTGACAGCCACGTTGCTATATATGCTATGTATATGGTTACATGAAAAAATAAATAATGTAAATCTAAATAACTGTGGTATATCCCGTATATCCAAAATATCGACTTAAACTAGATTTAGTTGATAATTGCAATGAATCATAATAAGAATAGTGCACAAGTATGTTTACTATTTCTGTACCAATCTCATTATCTGATGATTCTTGATGTTTAGTCTAAGAAAATTGTATGATATTAAAACCTAAAAAAATTCTTGAAACAAATCATGTGAATATAAAATTGTTTTATCATTGTATGTATGCCTATTAAGACTTGTTTGATCAATAAGAGAAAGAAATGTTTACTCTTTTATAATCTCTTTTCTCCACATCTAAAATTTGATTATACTACTACCTTCTTATCTGCGTTAATGCAAATTACATATATGTGTATGATTAATAACGATTTTTTTTAAAAAAAAACAAATATTAAAGCCATAAATTATGTCAACTCTTAAACACTTATTAAGACGAGATTGTTTTCGCATTTTATATGTGGCACAAAAAATGTGTGGTTATTTAAGTGGCCGAAACAGGAATTCTGGAGTGTTGTGTTCACTTTCCATATTCGAACAATCATTCAATTATTGGATAATTAGTTGAAAAGAAAAAGCGGTGTTATCGTTTTAAATGAAAAAAGGGAGTCCCCACCTCGGCTCAAGATTATTTTAATGCCTAAACTGAATAGGCATAATGTGTTACTGTTTGAACATTGCACATTTTTCATGCAAATGAATCGAATAAGCATTATATAATTATTTTTATATATGAACAAATTTCTCACATTATATAATTATTTGTATATATGAACAAATTTCTCACATTATATAATTATTTGTATATATGAACAAATTTTTTATAAAAAGAAGGCCTTTTCAATGATTTATCTACAACCCGTGCTAGAAATTCACCTTTACGTGTACATTTTTTTTAAAAAAAAAACTATCAAATTCCCAAGAATTAATAAAATTCTGTAAAGTAAAATGGCTGGTACACTTACTTTCAAATTTTTAAGATATGATATCATTGCTGCTATAGCAGAATTCTTTGGAACTGCATACTTTTTATTTATGGGTAATTATCATTATGAAAAATGTTTGATTTTGCGCGTCTCTTTCGACAATGGTTGATATAATTTGTTAATTTGTTTATTTGTAGGTATTGGCGGTGCCATGGCTTTTGGTGCTTCTCCAATGATGTACTTATAGATATTTTTTATCGTCACCGTACTATAAAGTTACTATAAAGTTTTTAGGTTTTTAATATTCCCGCTCTCTTTTTTTTTATAGTGCTGGTCTTGGCATTCCGTTTTCATTCGGATGGTCACTCATGGCGAATGTCTTCATTTGGAGTCCAATTTCAGGAGGTGTATTCAATCCTGCCATAACTATTGGTCTGATGGCCATCAAAAGATTGACAATTGTACGAGGTTTTCTGTATATAATAGCTCAATTCTTGGGCGCTCTCGTTGGAACATTCATGATTAAATCTCTCCTACCTGTTGATGCTGTTGGTGCCACTGTATTGGTATGTTATTATTATTATTATTATTTATTACTATTATTATTATTATTATTATTATTTGTATTTGTCTTATTTAAAAACATTTAACTAATTACTGAATTATATTTTACAAATGATTACTCAATTTCTTCAAGAAACCCGAAACATCAGTTGCTCAAGGTTTCTTTCTGGAAATGTTTGCTACGTCTTTCTTAACCTTTGCTGTGCTCTTTATTGCCAGTGAATCAAGAAATCAAGGTTTCATGGGTCCATTTGTAGTTGGTATTTCCTTATTCGTCTCAGCACTGTCCGGTAAGTTTCACGCTTTGCAATTGTTTCAATCCATACTTGTTGCTAACTTACCTCTATATTATTCATAGTTGGTCCATTCACCGGCGCTAGTTTGAATCCTGCACGAACCTTTGGTCCTGCCGTAGTTTTCGGAACCTATGGTAATGCCCATTGGATTTATTATATTGGTACCACTGTGGGTAGTTTACTGGCTGCTGGATATTGGCATTTGTTCGATAAATTGGATTTTAAAACTGTATCGGTAATATATTCAAGTTCATTTGCAGATGTTATACAATTTTATTAATTATTGTCAAGGTTATTTACAATTCCTATTTTTTTTTTTTTAATAGAAAACCGGTGCTGTTGAAGACGAAAAACATGACATTGATGAAGGCCCAAAAGTGTAAATTATGGCACCAATTACCTTCAGCGAAGGGAAAAATCATAGTTTTTTTTTTTATCATTATGTTATTTTTAATCATTAATGTCTGTATAAAATATCTATCTTTCACATTCTGTAATATATAAAGTCCATTGTATGCGTAA